CCCCAATGGATCAAACCTCCAATTTGCTTTTTCCGGGGCGGGGAAAAAGCAAAATTGTTCAGACATTTGCTTTTTCACGGGCCTGGAAAAAACAACATGGTTCAGACTTCGAGTGTGCTTTTTCCCCGGCCGGGAAAAAGCAAAATGGTCAAGACTTCCAATTTGCTTTTTCCCGGGCCGGGAAAATGCAAAATGGTTCAGACTTCCAATTTGCTTTTTCCCCGGCTGAGAAAAAGCAAAATGGTTCAGACTTCCAGTTTGCTTTTTCCCGGGCCGGGAAAAAGCAATCAGACTTCCAATTTGCCGGGAAAAAGCAAAAATGGTTCTGACTTCCAATTGTTTTTTTTCCCGGGCCGGGAAAAAGCAAAATGGTTCAGACTTTCAATTAGTTTTTTCCTAGGCCGCGAAAGATTTCAATTTGCTGGCTGGGAAAAAAGCAATTTGGCTCACAGATCCCCAGTGGCTTTCTCCAGTCTGGGAGAAATAATTCGCAACGGGAGATTCAAACCCACGACCTTCTGCTTATGATCCTGATGCCTTATCCATTAGGCCAGAGCTCCTTGATTTAAGTTTGTAAATTTGATACAAATTGCTTGCTTCTTATTTTTGTGGGCCTTGGGAAAAAGTTGAAGTCTGAGCCAAATTGCTTTTTCCAAATTTGACTCAGACTTCCAATTTGCTTTTTCCTGGGGCGGGAAAAAGCAAAATGGTTCAGACTTCCAACCCGGAAAAAGCAATCGGAAGTCTGAAGAGCAATTGTTTTTGCAGCGTGGCCAGGTCACCAACATGGCTTGCGCAAACCTTTCGCAGGACCTTCGCGAACCTTTCGCGACTGCAGTGAGAGCACACTCAAAATCAGCCTTTGAAATTCGATTACTAACAAGGAAGAGGTGGGTTTTTGAACGACGCTCATATATATAATTATATATATTGATATAATTTGAGCATCTTTGAACCACGTCTTCTAGCACAGGATTCGTTGACTTCGATCATCTTCAATCTACTTGGGCCACTCACTTCTGATCTTCACTTATTCCACGGTTCATGCTGAGATTCACATATTCGAAGAACCAGTTGGACGATACCGACCATTGAAAAATTGCATAATTATAATGTCCAAACTATTGAGAATGTTTAGAAGGTCTTCTTAGTTCCGAGGCACCGATGTATGCTTATACTATATACATTGATATCAGGCTTGCAACCAATTTCAGCTATTTAATGGTTTCCACCATGCAAGTCAACCGGTGGAACTCACACTTCCCAGTGACCCATCAGCTTTTCCACCAGTTTGGTCCATGTTCTTTTGACCCACGTGCCGCATGTGGATGCACAAGATTGGTGCCACGCACACCAACATCCTGGGTCACCACGCTGTGAAGCACTGAGCATCCTGTGAAGCACTGAGAGATGGGCGGATGTGTGGCAAAGTCCAGCGGTACGTTCGTGGCACAGCCGGGGACGTTTGTTGCGGGTCGCGAGTCGCGAAGCGACCCAGATCGACGATTTTCAGGACCGTCCACCAAGGTTCCTTTGTGGGACCCACAGGAACCAATGGTTTCTGAAGGGCTCTGATGGATGGCACTGGGACTAGGTGCCTTGTTACTAGTAGCGATGCCCTTGTTTCTGGCAGCTTCTTGTTCCTAGTAATGCCAGGAGCTACTAGTAGCTCCTTGTTGCTAGTAGTATACGGTGCCTTGTTACTAGTAGCTCGATCTTTGTGGTTCAAAGAAATCAAATGGCCGGATCCACACGAAGGCTCGCGCACCCAGCGGTCGATTTCTCCACTCCGTCGACCGAAAACTGATCGTGAATGAATTGAAAGCTCCCCAAATGGGAGAGACCAAAGGTCATTGTGGGCACAACTGAGGTCTGGGATCAAAAACATAACTGAAACCTATATTGCTGTGGGAACTCTGAATGACAGAAACCTTTTTGGTGACTTGTTCTTTTCCCATCCACGGGTCACTTCAGAATTAAATCCCAAGGATCCTCTCTGGTTCTTTCCCATCGAATGAGTCGTACTGCGACATGGATATTTGTGCACCAATTTCGTCTCACATCGAAAGATTGGACATTCGACTTCTTCTTTCATCTTCTTTTCTCTACGTGGAGCCTGAGTCTGAGGGTGTCTTGCACCTGGATTCAACCGAACATAGCACCTGAACATGTGTTCAGCACATATCATCAGAGACTCCCTTTATCTCTACCAAACAACAACAACCGTTCTCTCTTCCAATGGCGGCCGTCCCGTCGATGGCCATCCCAACTTCCCCTTCGCCTTTGAGCCCATGCGATTGGCATACTCGATGGCATGCTGATGATGGATGGCCGCATGTTCCGAGAGCCCCATGGCCTAACCACGAGGAGAAGAGCGCCGAGCTTTCGTCTCACCGCTAAACCGGTGGCTGAAGAACCGCCAATCATATTATATATGACATACAAGTATATGATATGACGATCGCTAATTATATGAATTCCAATACATCTTTATAGAGGGAATTGACTTTCTATCCATTTGGGTGTCATGGCCAGTCTTCCACCTGTCTAAGGACTTGCTACTACAGGAACAAGCCCGTAAGGGGGTTTGAGGTACTTCGTGGTCTTCAGCACTGCTTCGGCTGGTACATGAGCCACAACGGTCATGTGCGCAGTCCATATGTGGTCCAGGGAAAAAAGCCCAATGGAAACTACAATGCCCAGCCTGTTGACCCTGGGTGCAAAATCGTCCTGGCAATTCAGGTGCACGTGGCCCCCCAGGCATTGGACACTGACCGGAGCACACCATCTGACCCAGAACCTGATGGAAGCTGATGGGTTCCCAGGGTCATATGTTTGTTCTACTCTGCTGCAATCTACTATATTCATGCAGAATCCTTCAGTTCCAAACATCCTCTCAGTTTCTCCATGACGAATGGCCCACGCAAAGAAACACCTTGATCTTCGACTGGCCTGTCCAACCAGCTCGGGGACACTCCAGCTCGACCCAGCTGCCGTCACGGAGGCGACGGAAAAAAGCGACGTCATTCGCCTGGAACACGATGCCCAGGTTGGTATGGGCGATCAAGCGGCCAGTGCTATCCTCAAAAAGGGTGGAGATTCACAGGAGCTGAGCGTCTCGCTCTGAGCGAGTTGGGAGATGGAACGATTACATCTGTATCTTCTGTTCTTCTCTGTATAAGACCAACTAATTAACATGTGGTGATCAGTGGAAGTTGGAGCTGACGCCGGTGATGGAGCAGTCCTTCCTTCAACATTGTATTGATCCCGCGTCGCGAATGACACGCCTCCAGGTCCTGCCTACCTGACATACCTTTTCTATGCGGAAAGCGTGGACTGTGCTTTTCGCGTCCATCTGTCAGGTTCAGTGGAAAGAGGACGACTTCCTCGATGGGTAAAAGGAAAAAGGTGCTGCGACCTGTGCCAGACTCACAGAGTCACAAGTCATGGCCATCTAAACTGTTAACCATGATGGAACCCTTCTTTATAGGTGTTTCAGTTTCGGGTCAGTAGGCGGGTGAGTGGCTGTACAAAAGGAGTCCGTGCGTTTAAGGAGTCCTTCTGGTCACTCTGCGCTCTGCGGGTCGAGTCCCGTGCAGCCAATTCCAGGTGCTTGTTGTGATACTGGATCGCCTCGTCATACTGCCCTCAGCATCAGAATGGGGGCCTTCGAATGGGAAGGAGGTGAGGGAAACACTGAGAAACTTCAAAGCCTCCAAAAGACATGAAAGCTGTGGACAGGATGCATGGGATGTTAGCTTTCTCAAGGTGATTGATCTCACGTGACCAGTTCCGCCAGCCACAGTTGCTCTTCCCGACATGTTTGATGCTTCTAGTTGCTCCACAAACAACTTTCTTCCATTTACCACAGCTTTGGAGGGGGCAAGAAACAACCCCGAGAAGATTCTATAGAAGCAATGCGGCAGCAGGGGAAGTATCGGCCAATTCCTCCCTGCTCTCTTTGTTGGGAAGGTGCATATCGTCTGCACGTGTCGTTGTGTGAACAAACAGGGACTTCGCTCAGGACATTTCAGGAACAAAAGAACGATCCACCGCCAAACGGGGGGTGTTCCGTCGGCCACCCTCCCTTTAGTACGACTGACATACGAGTGGTTTGAGTAGGGTTCAGAATCTACTTTCATGATTAGCTCCGGATGTTTGGTTGACGGACACGGACATCGCACTATATGGTGTTCTGCGGGTGGTCGGTGGATGTGTTTTGTTTGCGCTTCGTTCTGAAGACGAAACTTGAGACAGGGAAACACGAGACAGGTAGAGAGTCACTCAAGGTAGCTCTTGCCCGGCATTACCAGGCGACCTTTCGTGAAATGTTCCTCTTTTTCCCTTCTGGATTCAGACTAAACCACTTCCAGGTTTGTGGGCGGGGCCGGAGGCTGCTCCATCTCGGGCCCGAAATCGGGGTTGCTCCGTGGCCTTCTCAGTTTCTCATCCAGTGGAGCGGAGCAGCTTCAAGGGAATAAATCGAGAGGAAGTTTCAGGGGTTTTCATGCCCAAGACGATGAGACAGAAGTCACATGGAGTTGGATGGTTTTGAGTCCCATCCAGTGAGTGGATGTTCTGGGCACCCTCATCCTCCGAGTTCGGCACCCCGTCTTCTGATTCCTGGGGTTTCTTGTAATTGTTGTTCCCTTACTATATTACTGTATATTAAATCAATTCTGGGATTCACCGGTGACACGCCAAGTGAGTTGTTTGGGGGCAGTTGAAGCCCAGGGCCATCCCTTGCTCTCCGGTTGCCTTGGAGGCTCCCCTTTGGTCCAAAACGGTCCGAGCGTGGTCCATCAATATCGATTGAACACATTAGGACATTAAAGCCGAGTCCCCCAGGCCACCGCCTGGACTGATCAGCTGGCTATCCCCTTTTCCACCGACGCAGCTCCAAAAACCGGCATCATTGTGACGCCCCATGGCCACAGCAGGGAGGCCTCTCAGGTCTCCACCTGCCATGCTGTACGAAGACCAGCTCCACTAGCGGTTTTGTGGGGCCAACTGACACCGTTGAGAAAAGATTGCAGAGATTCGCCGGGCCAAAAAAATCGCTGACCATGTGAGACATTCAATCTTACATCACTCTCTGACGATGTGGTTAGCAATGCAAGTTCAACCTTCTTAGATCGTTTTTAGGACACTAACTTACAATTGATAGTTGCTTGTTGAGATCTGTCTCCCTTGACCATGGTTGCATGATTTTGGCTGGCTCGTCAGGGAATTTCGTCGGGACCGGCGCAAGGAGTGCTTTGCAAAGCAGCTGTGTTGGTCTTGAAGCTCGTATAGTGTCCAGTTCTATGCTGCATGATGCTGCATGCAGCAAACCCAGGTTTACTGTAGTTGCCACTAGTCTCACTAGAGCAGGTACCGCCCACTGCCATTGAATCACCAGACTGCGTGTGCAAAACGCTCCCCGTGCCTGCCCTACGCCACCCCGCCGGAGCTAGCCAAGCACGAATTCCTGGAACTCTTGTCTCAGCAGCTTGTCTGACGACTTCCTTCAGTTGCCCAAGAACTTCAAACATGAAGCTCAAGCTCCCTAGACTGTGACTAGGCCCTAATGCGCACATAGGATTAAGTAACCACCCCCTATTAATCAATCCCAGCTCGACCCCTCCAATACTAAACTAATTGAACACCTAGATTTCCACCTTGGCATCACCCTAATATTTTTTTCCTGTGCAGAAACCTCCCCCTATTCATCAATCCCAGCTGCCCCCCAAAAATAAACATATTGTTTACTATTTATAGTTCTTTTATATTACATTCTTTTGGCTAGGCTCCAATATCCTTATATATATATATGTAAAAAAAAATTGTTTGCTAGTATTCAATATCTTCATCTCCTCATCTTCCTGATTCTCACCGCCACCTCTCAACTGCCTCATCCTGCTCACCAATCCTTTTGATGGCTTCTCCTGAGGTCTCATGCTACCAACCATCCCCAAAACCCCAACAACTCTCTAGCAAAAGCCTTTCATTTTCCATTATTAAAACTCTATCAACATCTTAACTGTTTCAAGCTCACAAAGGGTACCCCTCACAGAGGCCCTACCCCCCCAATAGTAGGACCACCTCCCCCTATTAATCAATCCCAGCTGCCCCAGAAAAAATATACAGTAGTATACTTTGTATTTGTAATTCTTTAGTGTTTTTTTTTGGCAGTATTCAATATATTCATCTCCTCATCTTCCTGATTCTCACCACCCATTCCATCTTCCTCATCAGTTCACATCCTATCCCATACGCTCCCTTGGAAAAACAACCCATGAATCAATCTAACATGAACACTCATCCAAAAGTTCTCATGTGGTTTCCAACTCTTCCAACCCTTTCATCCCTTTCATCTCAATTCCCTTTTCATCTCAATTCTTCCAAATACTAATCCCCTTTCAGCCCAACTCTTCCAAATACTAATTCCCGTTCATCTCAATTCTTCCAAATACTAATTCCCTCTCAGCCCAATTCTTCCAAATACCAATTCCCTGTCATTCCAATTCTTCCAAATCATTCTCTTTCATCTCAATTCTTCCAAATACTAATTCCCTTTCAGCCCAATTCTTCCAAATACTAATTCCCTTTCATTCCAATTCTTCCAAATCAAATTCCCTTTCATCTCAATTCTTCAAAATACAAAATCCCTTTCAGCCCAATTCTTCCAAATACTAATTCCCTTTCATTCCAATTCTTCCAAATCAAATTCCCTTTCATCATCAGGTCGTCAGCTTTATTGGGGGGATGTGATCTCCAAAACCTCCAATCTCAAACCTTGTTGACCTTGTTGACCTTGAGAGGGGGGGGGCCGTTGATTAATCCTACGTCGACATTAGTAGACTTCCTTTTCGGGTAACGACCATATTAAATATCTTCTTGGACCCGGGTAAATCTGTCCCCAAGAAAAGTCATCCAGGTTGGCCCAATTAGCTCATTGTAGCTCTACAGCTTTCGCCGCTGTTCTGAACTCAATCGGAGACCCTTTTCGGTCTCCAGAGACACGTCCCCGCCAAGCTGAGCAAGCTTTTCCAAAGATTTTTCCTTTGTCTCTTCATGTCTGTTCACATGAGTTTTTTGTGGTTTTTCTCGAGCGAAGCCTCACTGAGATGGTACCACGGTCTTTCTTTCATCGACACGGACTGTCATCGCAGCCGAAAAGTCCAACACATGACATGACTCGTGCCATGGCTGTCCGAGACACGTATCGAGTTCCATGCTTTTTTGGTTGAGCACCAAACACGCCTCACAGCTCAATACGAGGTTTACAGTAGCCGTAGAGCGGTGCTTTGGACCGTATAAAAGGGCCGGAAAGGGCAGGTGCAGTGCAATGCATCCGAGATTCTTCCATGACTCCCAAGCTGCAAAAGGCCTCCTCCCCGTGGAAGACATCTTTTGGAAGTGGTGCGCGTGCCGCGGAGCTCAATCGAATGGCCAAATGATGGCGATGCAAAGAAACAAAAACTACAAACATCTAGAAACTGGGGATATCCAGCTTGTATGCCCCAAGCAAGTGTGTTTGACCAACACTTGGACCAACACTTTGACCAGTCTTGAATGCCCTGCTTCTTGGACTACTCACTGAACCGACGTCGCATAAGGTCCGACGTCGGATGTCTCATGTGGCATGAGTGCAACCTGCAATCTCTCCGGCACACATGGAACAGGATCCGCAAGCAAGGGACATCAACAAAGGTCGGCGGTCGAACATCTGACAGCTTGTGACGTCGCTGTGGAAGGTATCTTGGACAACTTTGTGAAATGTGGACTGCCAATTAGATACCCCCCCCGGATTAATGTCTGCAGTTGTTTTGTTGGATTAATAACCCCCCGGATTGATGTCTGCATCGGTGCTTCCGGACCAACCATGACCGAAGGAAGCTGCCTCCCGAGTCCCGAACCGATCTTCGGAGAGAAACTCCCCGCCGGATCCGTGATGTTCGAGGTTCATCGAACAAAGCGACCACTGGAGCAATCTGGACCACACTTCGGGCCCGTTGGGTCTTTTTCAGACTCACCCTGGGACCGCTCCAGCCAGGCACGTGCAGCCTCAGCACCATGCACGGCTCGTGGCCATACCAATTAGAATCTCTTGCAGTTGATAGACAGAAAATCGAGTGCCGAGTCGACCGCGCGCGGGAGGGGAGTGCTGTCGTCTTTTTGAAGGACTGGGACTGACTTCAAGGACTGAGTCAATCAGCTGATTGAACAGGTGGATCTGCGGGTGCCAGACACACTCGGACGTTCGTGGTGAGTTAAACTGGGGGCATCTCCCAGTTCGACCCCCTGGAAGAAGGGAAATAGACCAACACCCCATTGGTTGGGGGATGTTGGGGGTCTCCCTATTCACACCCAATATGCTTCTAGGCAAGGCACTTTGGAGCATAGTTTGCAAGTGATTGTTTTCGTCTGGGCGTCAAAGTATCTTTCACAATTTATTGAAGTTATTCTGTCTTTCTTTGAAAAAAACTAGCCAAAGAATTTCGGAGCAAGCCCCAGATGGGAGCACACCCAACACCGGAGCTTTGGACGGAGGACTGAACATACAGAAGTTCCCGGCCCTAATCTTCTCTCGTCATGTTATCTTCTTGTTCAGAAACAAAACACAACTCATGTTTTGAACCGAAACATCTAACAACCAGGGTCA